GTGAATGAAGATAAAAATTTATATATATTTGGTTTATTATGCAATAAGTTGGCCTGAGTTAGTTGTAGAGCCCAGGACTCAGCAGTTCATTGCTATGGAAATTACAAAGGAAGAGCAGTCATTTGCTTGAAGAATTGACGCTGTGTTTCTAAGAGGATCTGTGCTAGCTGAGGGGTGCCCACACTGGCGGGACTGGGGGATACCTGTACCCAGAGGCCTGGAGCCAGAAGAGATCACTCTATTGCAGCCTCTCATCTTACAGCTTAGGAAATGTTTCAGAAAGGCAAGTGACCAGCCCAAGGCCCTAGTAGCTCTGGGAGTTGAGCTGGTAACAGGGCTGGAGCCGGAACGCAGCCTCCGGACCCTCAGCCACAGGCCTTCTGCAGGGCACTGGCACTAAAGGGGCTGCAGTAAAAAAAAAATTGCTGGGCAGGCAGGGTCATTGGTACAGAGCAGTTCTGCCCACAGGCAATTATAGTTTACAGTTCTTTAGAGGAAAATTTGGATCAAGGTTTGAAAATAACCAAGTATTTTCTGACATTATGATGTCAGAACTATTTAGGAAAACAGTTCAAAATAATCAAAACATAGATTTTTCTAAATTTCCTCTTACCTATTTAGGAGAACAGAATGTCAGGACACCTGAATGGTGTGTGCCATTTCATCAGTGGGGCCTGCCCAATTTTGGTGTTTAAGATAGTAATGATAGCATTTTTAACTTAAAACCTTATCTTTTTATCTAAAATAGGTAAAACCTTGTTAGCCAAAGCAGTAGCAAACCAAACCTCAGCCACCTTCTTGAGAGTGGTTGGCTCTGAACTCATTCAGAAGTACCTAGGTGATGGGCCCAAACTTGTACGGGAATTGTTTCGAGTTGCTGAAGAACATGCACCTTCTATCGTGTTTATCGATGAAATCGATGCCATTGGGACAAAAAGGTAGAGTTTCTCATATATATTTTGTGTTGTTTAGAGGCAATACTGCATAGCTCTTCTCTGAGAATGAACGCTCTCTGGGCTCTCCCTGTGGCCACAGTTCTTGCTGTGCCTTGCCCTCTATGGATGCTTTAGACTCTGCACTCCTGGGGGCCAGGTAACCACTACCTAGGAGCTGTGAAAGTCTCGAGATTGGTCAGTCGTGAATAGCCATGTTTTGAGCCAGGCTCACCCTGAGCCAGGACCATCTGGACTCTGGGGACACAGCTGTGAGCACAAGGGCAGAAGCTTGCCCTCAAGGTGCTCACAGTCCGGTTGAGAGATAGGACACCAAACATGGAGGTAAAATAAATGATACAATTTCAGGCACAGAAACTGCTCTGAAGAAATATGATCTGTATCTTGGCTGATGGGGTAGGGGGTGTCTTAGTCCATTTTTGCTGCTATAACAAAATGTCATAGACTGAGTAATTTATGAAGAATGGAAATATATTTCTTACATTTCTGGAGGCTGGGAAGTCCAAGAATCAAGGTGCTGGCATTGGTGTCTAGTGAGGGCTGCTCTCTGCTTCCAAGATGACACCTTGATTGTTCTTTTCTCCAGAGGGACAAACACTGTGTCCTCACAGGGCTGAAGAGCATAACAAGCCTAAGCTAGATCCCTCCAGTTCTTTATAAGGCACGACTCCATGCCTGATAAGGCTCTGCCGTACCACCACAGTGGGAATTAAGTTTCAACACACAAATTTTGGGGGACACACTCAGACCATAACAGGGGGTGCTGGTTCTTTTGCTAGAACAATGAAGGGAGTGACATTTAGGCTGAGAAAGGAATGTTGAGGTGTTTTGTCATGATGAGGTCTCTGCTGTAATGCCCCATTAGCAGATCGGTTGGGTCTTCATTCCTTCTTCTGCTCTTCTTTCCCAAAGATACGACTCAAATTCTGGTGGCGAGAGAGAAATTCAGCGAACAATGTTGGAACTGTTGAACCAGTTGGATGGATTTGATTCAAGGGGAGATGTGAAAGTTATTATGGCCACAAACCGAATAGAAACTTTGGATCCAGCACTTATCAGACCAGGTTAAATTTCTTTTGTTTCATCATGGAGAATTAATGTGTTTATATAATTTGTGTCATTTGGGAATTGCTTCTTTCATTTATTTCTGAAGCTAAAAAGGAAAGAGGATTTCTTTTAAATGAGGTGAATTCATATGTAGAAACTTACACTATAAAAACGAATGTTCACTTTTTAAGATTTGGATGTCCTTCCCTCAGAATCCTGTCTGACCGAAACTGCACGTGTAAAGGCGATGGGCTGAGGCCTCTTTCTGAGCCAAGGTAGGGCCCGCCCTGGATGGGGCTGTGGCTAAAAACTTTTTATACCTGCAGGCCGCATCGACAGAAAGATCGAGTTCCCCCTGCCTGATGAAAAGACTAAGAAGCGCATCTTTCAGATTCACACAAGCAGGATGACGCTGGCTGATGATGTAACTCTGGATGACTTGATCATGGCTAAAGATGACCTTTCTGGTGCTGACATTAAGGTGAGAACCTGGGCCAGGTCAGCTCGTTTCTGGAAACGTGGCCTGTCAGGAAAGACTGTGTGTTCTTGAGGTGGTGGTTAGGTGGGG